CTAGGTTATCATATTTGTGGGCACAGAGTTCTTACTAAATTCCATTATTATACTTTTTTTTTTTTGAGTCAGCGTCTCACTCCATCGCCCAGGCTAGAGTGCCGTGGCACACTCATGGCCACCCCAGCGTTGACCTGCTGGGCTCTGGCAATCCTTCTGCCTCAGCCTTTCAAGTAGGCAGAATACAGGCGCACATTACTACATCCGGCTCATTTTTTAATTTACTATAGAGACGAGGTCTCGACAAGTTGCCCAGGCTGATCTCGAATCCACAGGCTCAGGCAATTCACTTGCCTCAGCCTACCAAATTGCTGGGATTATAGCTGAGCTATCGAGCCCTGTCCATTATTATACTTTTAGTGTCTATGGAGTCTGTAGTGATGTCTCCTCTTTTGTTGCTGATATTAACAAATTGCCCTTTTTTTTTTCTTTCATTCATGGCCATCTTTGATTTTCTTTTCTTTTTTTTTTTTTTTTTTGAGTTGGAGTCTCACTCTGTTGCCCAGACTGGAGTGCAGTGGCCACTTCCAGCCACCGCAGCCTCGACCTGCTGGGCTCCAGCGATCCTTCCGCCTCAGCCTTCCGAGTAACCAGAATTACAGGCATGTGCTACCATGCCCGGCTGATTTTTTGATTTATTGTAGAGATGAGGTCTCGCTGCCTAGGCGGGTCTTGAACCCGCGGGCTCAAGCAATCCACTCACCTCAGCCTCCCAAAGGCGCGGGATTACAGGCTGAGCCACTGAGCCCGGCCATTCTAAGTTTGAAAATGACATGCCAGGTATCTCTGATTTTGACATTTTTCCTGCTTGCTGTTCTCTGAGCTTCCTGGACCTGTGATTTGGTGTCTTTCGTTAATTTGGGGGGAAATTCTCAGTCATTATTACTTCAAACATTGCTTCTTTCCTCTCTTTCTCCTCCTCTGTTATTCTCATTTTGCATTATTTCTTTTTTACTTATTTCTTTTTTAGTGTTCTCACAGTTGTTGGATAATTCTGTTCTTTTTTGTTTTTTCTGTCTTTTTTTTCTTTGCTTTTTAGTTTTGGAAATTTCTATCACTGTTCCTTCTAGCTCAGAGATTCTTTCCTTATCTCTAGTCTTCTGTGAGCCTGTCAAAGTCAGTCTTCATTTCTGTTTTGTTATTTTTTATCTCTAGCATTTTTTTATTATTTCTTAGAATTTCCATTTCTCTGCTGAACTTATCTATCTGCTGCTACTTGTTTTCTACTTTTTCCATTAAAAGGATGTTAATCATAGTTGTTAAAAATTTGTAGTGAGATAATGTCAACATTCCCGCTATATCTGAGTCTGATTCTAATGCTTGCTCATCTCTTCAAGCCATTTTTTTGGTCTTTTTTATGCCTTGTAATTTTTGTTGACAGGTGCACATGATGTACTGCATAAAAGGAACTGGTATCAGTAGACCTTTAATGATGTGGTAGGCTGTGGGGGAGAAGAAGTATCTAGTCCCATGATTAGGGCTCCATCTTTTGGTGAGCCTGTGCCCTTGGATTGTGAACTCCTCAAGTATCGTCAGGCTTTTTTGCTCCTTAGATAGTGCAGAGATACTGAAGGGAGGTAGAGTTGGGTATTTCTTTATCCTTAGGTAGATTAAGCTCTGCTAAAACCATAGCAGGTTAGGCTCTGGTAGAATAGCTTCTCTTTAGGGCAGGCCTTGTTCAGAACAGGGTGCTTTGGCCTATTTCAGAATGGTTCCTTTTCCTTCTTCCCCTGCTGGAAGCATGAGGGGATGTTCTCCACTTGTCATCATGAGGACTTGGTAGAACTCTAGAAAGTAAAAACTCACAGAAATATGTGTGTGGGGTGGGGGTGGGGGTGGCTATGACTGGGTCCCCCTAGAATTCTTAACTCAGAATTGTGCACACTGAGCCTCTAGCAATTGATCATTTGCAGTTCAGGTTTTCTTAACCTGGCACTTGTTCCCACAGAGGCTTTTGCTTGTGGGTTTCTGTTCATTAAGTTATGACTCTCTGTGTCTGCCTTTTCGTCTGTAATTTTAGGGACACTAGTTTGCCCTGAGATGTTTCTTCTCTGACATATCTTAAAAGAGGTGTGATTTTTTTCAGCTTGTTCAGCTTTTTAATTGTTAGGACAGAGTGGTGACTTCTAAACTCTGGACTGGAAACTGGAACGTGAGAATATTTTAATTTATCTTTTTATCTGTCAGTTTCAAATGTCAGAAAATGTAAAAATAGTGGTGGGGTGGAGAGGCCATCTTACATAATCATCTAGTGAAGGCAGTTGTGGTTTTTTGACATATGTATTTCTACACTCTTCTTGGTGTATTTTTTCTTTATATACGTGAGATGATATAATTTACTCAAAGATAATATCCTAAGACCCAAAACTGGACTAGATGCCTCCTCCCTAAACTATCTGCCGCATTATATGGGTCATATTATGATCTACCCACCCCCAGACCAGGAACCCAGACCAGGAACCTGCTTGTTTCTCTCCTTTCTTCACATTTGCTCATCCCTACATCATGGCGGCTATACTTTCTGAAGCTTTCTTAGCTCTCTTCTGTTATCACTTCTGTTGGAAGCCCTCACTGATTTCCCCAACCTCTTACAGTGGTAGAACCTATTTCCAGCATTACCCCTCACATTCTGTGCAGGTGTCACTGCATGATCCATTTGAAATGCACACCTGACCATGTGATTCTGCCATTTAGAGCTCTTCAAGCCCTTCGATGACTCCTTGCCTTCAGGATAAAATCCAGGCTCCTAAGCATGGCCTGCCTATCCCTCTGTGGCCAAAAACCTGCCTGCCTTTCCAGATTCATCTCTTAATACTCCCTTTCCCCAGCTTTGTGTTCCAGGAATAATCTCAGCTCCTAATCCCCTCCTGGATGTTCTCTTCTCTGGGTGCCTCATGCAGGCCTCCCTGCCAGAACTGCCTTTGTCTCCCCTCCCTGTGCCTCATCAGTGCGCGTGTCTCTCTCTCTCTCTCTCTCTCTCTCTCTCTCTCTCTGTGTCTCTCTGTCTCTTTCTCTCTCTCTCTGTCTCTCTCTCTGTCTCTGTCTCTGTCTGTCTCTCTCTGTCTCTCTCTGTGTGTGTCTCTCTCTGTCTCTCTCTCTGTCTCTCTTTCTCTGTCTCTCTTTCTCTGTCTCTGGCTGTCTCTCTCTCTGTCCCTCTCTTTGTCTGTCTGTCTGTCTGTCTGTCTGTCTGTCTCTCTCTCTCTCATACCGGTCAGCTGGTATCTCCTCCTCAACGCTTTACTCCAGCTCCTGGACTCCCTCTGCCCACACTGTGTGTGTGCAAATCTCTATCGTTACATTTCGTGTCAGTAATTTATTCATTCCACCAGCTCACCAATAAGATTTGTGTTAGGCAGAAGTTTAAGCACTGGGATACAGCACATGAGAAAATAAAGTTCCTGCCCTGATGAAGCTTACATTCTAATGAGGAGAGACAGATACTAAGCAAATCAAAAGATAGTGTGCCTGCAGGTGGTAAGTGCTGTGATGCAAAACAAAGCTGAGTAAGGGAGGATGGGGGAGGTGGCTGCTGGAAAGGAAGGCCTTGCTGATAACAGGGCCTGTGAGTGGAGACCTGGTGGAAGTGAGACAGCCTGTCTGCCCAGGTGTCAGACAGCCCTGAGGCAGCGTATGCTCAGTGCCAGCCAGGGTCAGTGGGGGAAAGCAGTGTGCTGAGGGCAGAATGGGTGTAGGGGAGAGTGGTAGAGATGGGCATACAGAGTCATTGACACCCAGGTCGTGAAGGGTTTTGCAGGTTGCTATAAGAGCTTTGACTCTAAGACCAGAAGGCATTCGAGGCTTTTTGTGCAAAGAAGCAATGCAATCTGGCTGTGTTAAATACGATAGGTTGTACAGACCACTGTGTCTACTGGGTTGAAGACGGGGTGAGGTAGGTTTAGCTCTAGGGAAGGGCAGAGGCATGGAGATCAGGAAGGAGGCTGTTGCAGTAATCCAGGTAAGAGGTGATGCTGGCTGACTTGGACTGGCCAGAGTGGAGCCAGCGGAGGGAATGATAAGTGATTGGATATATTGAAGGTAGAGCCAACAGGATTTCTAAAGAATTGAGATACAGGGATTGAGAAGGAAATAGGAGTCAAGGAAGACGTGACTTTTAGTCTGAGCATCTAGAAGTACAGAACTGCTCTGGAGTGAGTAGCGTGGTGGGAGTGTTTTGGATATGTGATGTTTCAGAAACCTGTTAGGTTTCCCGCTGGAGAGTTGAGTAGGTCACTGGAGGTATCCATCTGAAGTGTAGAGGGGAGATCTGAACCGGAGGTATAAACCTGAAGGCTGTCAGCATGTAGATGGTATTTCCAAGTTACGGAATCAGGTGAGAGAGAAGGTGAGTGGCAGGGTGACTGAGACATGGAGCACTCCACATTTAAAGGAAACACATTTACAGCAAAGGAACCTGAGAAGGCATGGCTGGAGTAAGTGGGAGACCAGGAGAACCAGGAGGAAGGCACATCCTGAGAGGGAGGGAGTGCTCACCTCTGTCTGGTGCCCTGGGTAGATGGAGTCAGCTGCGGACATTGTATTATAAGTCTCTGTCTATATGTTTGTCTACTGCAGGTGACTGAGGGGCAGGAATGGCACACAGTAGTGTAGTGACAGCCTTGAAGGCAGGAGATGCAGCATGCTGTTTAATGGCTGTTTTTCCCTAGGCTGGTTCTCTCGGTTCCTCAAAGCTTCAGTCTCATCTGTAAAATGGGCAGGAAATAGTATCTTTTCCACTGAACATCATGAAGATCAAATTTGATCACCCATGTAAGGCACTAAGTGTAGTCCCCTCCATATTGTTCAACACATAATTGTGATGGTTGTTTTTTTTTTAATTTAGTCTACCTGGCACACTCCCCTCCCAGGAGCAACTGTCGTTGAGTGGATGCGTGAATTGCATTCCCCTGTGTGGTTGTGAGGTTTTGACCTGCGCTTGTGGGTTTCTCCAGGACTGATCCTCACAAGGCGGATTCTGGAAGTGCAGAGGAAGCAAGGAGGAGAGTTCGAGAGTTTCTGGGCACAGCGAGTGCCATGGAGCTCCCCAACTACAGCCGGCAACTACTGCGGCAGCTCTACACTCTGTGCAAGGAGCAGCAGTTCTGTGACTGCACCATCTCCATTGGGACCATCTACTTCCGGGCCCACAAGCTTGTCTTGGCTGCCGCCAGCCTGCTGTTCAAAACCCTGCTGGACAGCACGGACACCATCTCTATCGATGCATCTGTGGTGAGCCCTGAGGAGTTTGCCCTCTTGCTAGAGATGATGTATACTGGCAAACTCCCTGTGGGCAAGCACAACTTTTCCAAAATCATCTCTTTAGCCGACAGTCTACAGATGTTTGATGTGGCTGTGAGCTGTAAAAATCTTCTGACCAGCCTTGTACACTGCTCTGTCCAGGGTCAGGTGGTAAAGGATGTCTCTCTGCCGTCCTCAGAGTCTTTCAGGAAGGAATCCGAGAGGCCTCAAGTAGAAACCCTTTCCTCCGAAGGTGCGGCGGAGCCTCGTTCTCACCCAGAGGTTTCTGCCGCTCTAGGGGGTCCTGTGAAAGCCGAGACCAAGGAGACCAGCGATGCTGTCCATACAGTTACCCAGGAGATGAGCGTGGGCCCTCCCACTGCCCAGGAGACCCAGGGGAACACTGAAGCCCCAGCAGGGACTCCTGACCCAGCCAGAGCGTGTCCCCCCCGCCCCGTTGTGCGAGCCTTCAGTGAGACGATGGAGGCGAGCTCAGAGCCAGGTGACAGTCACTCAAAAGTTGTTTTGTGCCCCTTCTGCTTTCAGCGACTGGATTCAGTGATCTCCATCAGTTTTTATGTTTCACTGCTAAACTTACCAGAGACCGTTGTTGGGTAGAAAACCAGAACCCAATACAGCACCCTTCTGGGACGTTCTTTTTCTTGAGTAGGAGTCTCACTCGGTTGCCCAGGCTGGAGTGCATGGCACACTTACGGCCGCTGCAGCCTCGACCTCTGGGCTCAGGTGATACTTCTGTCTCAGCCTTCCAAGAAGCTGGAACTATAGGTGCCCAGCTAATGTTTGTTTTTTATTGCAGAGACAAGGTCTCGCCAAGTTGTCCGGGCTGGTCTCCAACCCCTGGACTTAGGCAGTCCTCTTGGTTCTGCATCCCAAAGTGCTGGGATTACAGGTGTGAGCCACTGCGCCAGGCAGGACATTCTTCTTTCAGGAGTGTCTGTCTTTTTAAATGTTAAAGTCAGAATATGAGCTACAGGGCAGAAAAACAGCATTGACATAGCGGTGTACCATTTCTGGTAATTATCTGCTCTTTTGACTGGGCTGAGACTGGCCTAGAGGAGGAACTGTGAGAGATGCTGTTGACTTTTATAGCCAACGTGATGAGCCAGTTGTCAGTTCAGTGCAGTATGTGACCTGCAGGTTCTCGGACAGCTTATGTTTTTTTAAGTCAGTAAGAATGGTGTCCAGTCCAGCTTAAATTTTTTTTTTTTTTTTTTGAGTTGGAGTCTCACTCTGTTACCCAGACTGGAGTGCAGTGGCCACTCTCGGCCACTGCAGGCTCGACCTACTGGGCTCCAGCGATCCTTCCCCCTCAGCCTTCCAAGTAGCTGTAACTACAGGTGCGTGCTACCACACCCGGCTAATTTTTTGATTTATTGTAGAGATGAGGTCTCACCAAGTTGCCCAAGCGGGTCTCAAACCCACGGGCTCAGGCCATCCACTCACCTCAGCCTCCCAAGGCGCAGGATTACAGGCTGAGCCACTGAGCTCGGCTGAGCTTAAATTTTTTAAAGAATCATTTCAGGTAATGAATTCCTGATTTGTTTTATTTTGTGATCCATTCAGAGTGTGGAAGAAAACACTACCACCTGAATTTTCTCCTAGAAAATGAAAGTATCTTCTCAGAAGCACTTGGGGTTACCCAGGATGTTTTAAAAAGACTAGAAGTATGTTCAGAGATGAAAGGCCCCCAGAAGGAGGTAAGTACCTCTTTTATTTGTTTGCTAGTCTAGTGTTCTCAGGAAACCATGTTAACTTTCCATATGTGCAGAAACATGAAAATGCCAAAAAAATCCCAGAGTTTCATTTTTGAAACTGATATTTTAAAACCTTTATTTCCTAAGGGCAATCTTGCAAAAGTATTAGGCAAGACAGTTTCAAAATGAAGTTACATTTTGATCATCAGGCAAAGCTCAGCTTCTACTCAGTTTTTAAAAAATTTATTTCTCTATAATTATCATTTATAGTTTCTAGTAATCAATTTTAAAGTTCATGAGATGTGTGAAGAAACATGAAAATGTAACTCATACACAAGATAAAAGACAAGAGTAGAAGCTAGCCCTAAGACGTCCAAGATGTTGTAATCAGCAGACAAAAATTTGAAAGACACCGTTATAAATATTTTCATGAGAGTAAAAAAAAATATTTCCGTGAAGAAGGAAAAGAAGTGGAAGCTCAGCAAGGAAGGACAAATTGCTTCTCACCGGTTTTGGCCATTCCTTCCCGGTGAGCGAGCAGGACACAGTCGTGAATGAATCTGAGATTCAAGCACGAAAAATGAAAACAGCCACAGATACTCAAAACTCGGACAAATGGCTTCATGCAGACTTACGGAGTAGACTGCACCAGTGTTTAGGAGTAAAGTGGCCATTTTCAGACAGAAAAACAACAACGGTAAACATGTGTTGAACCCTTCTTGTGCTAAGCTTGGTATGTAGGTGATCTCAATTAACCCTCACAGAACCCGGCAAAGTGGGTGCTGTTGTTGAGTCCTATTTTATGAATGAGAAAACTGTCTGGCAGAGCTCCTGTGACCTGAGCCAAAATTCAGACCGATTCATTCTGACTTGAGGGCTGTTCCCCTACACACTGAGTTATACTGCCTCCTGATGGGGTAAATGGGATACATATATGTAAATGTTTAGTAGTTGTCCAACAGGAAACTGCCAGTTGGCTGTCATGCTGTTTTGTAGCTGACATCTGCTTTTCAGTAACTCCCTTGCAATACGTGTCCTCCTGTGTGCTCTGTCACTGCCTGATTCCTCACACCTGACCCTGCAGGATTCGCCTCACCACCACTCTAGAACTCCCTTGCTTCCCCTTTCTCCAGCCCTGCTCCCCCTTCTGAGAGGCTGCTGGCACAGCCAGGGCACTACCCCCAGGCCTGCTCCTCAGAGTGGGGAGGCCCCATGTTGCTGGAGACTACTGAGTGTCGATCCAAGCAATGCATGCCTTCTAGTAATTAAATGGTTTCCTGATTCATGGCAACTTACTTTTAAAAAAAATAAATTCAAGGTCTAGTATTTATTTTAACTGTGCTAATTGACAGTTGACTCTAAATTGTTTTCTTGGGAGACAAGTTATTTACAAGGCTAGGTGCACCCTGATGACTCTCTTTGGGAGATTTCAAGTCATACATCCTTGGTACTCTTTGTACCGATTATCCTGAAGGACATTATGGTTTATATTTTGCACTTGCATGTTCCCTTAACTGTTCTATCCATCACTTTTGTCAGTGGTTTGTTACCTTGATAGCTCATAGACACACCTCTGCATTTTCTCTTAAGGCTTCCTCTCTGCTTGGACTACAGAGGAGCCACATTCCTTAGATCAGCAACACTCAAGTTATTAGCATCACCTCTATACTGTCTTGAACTGTGTCTTAGGCATTTTTTTTAACATTGGTGCCTTAAAGTGTCTAGTACATAACAGGTGATCAAGAAATGTCTGTTATACACGGATTTATTCAACATTTCTTTCTTTTTTCCAATTCTTTTTCTAATCTTTTGATGGCAGTAACATTAATAGTACTTTGGGAGAACACTGATTCACTGTTGGTGATCATTATAGGCTTATGTTATTTCTTCCTCCATTTTTGAGGTCAGAGTAAGAGCTCTCCAAATCATTTGGTGGCTGTATTTAAAACTGCTTCTGTTGTAGTCCATAATAAATCTTTCAACACCAGAAAGAAAAGGGAAAGATACTTTAAGACATAAGATTAAGGTAAATATGGAATGAGGGAGCTGCTGCTTTGTACTTAGACCCTCCGCTTTTCTTTAGCCAGCTTGATTGAGGTACGATTGATATACAGCAAACTGCATGTGTAAGTGTACAGTTAGAGTAGTTTTGATATATGCCCTGAAGCCATCACTACAACCAAGGTGGTGAGTATACCTGCCACCCCCAGAAGGCGCTTCATGTCCCTTTGTACTCTCTCACTCCTGCCCCTTCACCCGTCCCCCAGGTAACCACTGATCTGCTTCCTGGTGTATACATTAGCTTACATTTTCTAGAATATCATACAAATGGAGACATAGAATATGTATTTTTTTGTCTGGCTTGTTTCATTCAGCATAATTATTTTGAAATGCATCCATGTTGTGTGTTCATTCCTTTTTATTGCTGGGCAGTGTTCCACTGTGTGGAGATAAAATTTATGTATTCAATTGTACCATTTACTGGCACTGTAACCTTAATCAACTTAATCTTTTTATTTTTTAATTTTAGAATCGTGGGGTACATATGAGGATTACTTAATATTGTATGAAGGTGAAGTTTGAGCATCTGATGAACCCCCCAAGTAGTGGGCATGGTACCCAGTGGGTGGTTTTGAATCCCTTATCCCCCCCCCACCTCCTTCAGCAGTGCCCAGTGTCTCTTGTTCCCATCTTTGTGCCTGTGTGTATCCAATGTTTAGTGCCCACTTATGAGTGAGAACATGCTGTATTCAGTTTTTTTGTTTCTCTGATAATTCACTTAGAATGATGGTCTCCAGCTGCATCCATGTTGCTGGAAAGGTCATGACTTTTTCTTCATGTCTGCGTAGTATCCTATAGTGTATATATACCACATTTTCTTCATCCAGTTCACCTCTGACGAGCATTTGGGTTGGTACCTTGTTTTTGCTATTGTAGATAGTGCTACAATAAACATACGAGTGCAGGTGTCTTTTTGGCAGAATTATTTGTGTTCCTTTGGGTATATTTCCAGAAGTAGCATTGCTGGATTGAATGGTAGCTCTATTTTTTAGTTCTTTGAGAAATCTCCAAACTGCTTTCCATGAAGGTTGAGTTAGTTTACATTCCCACCAACAGTGTACAAGTGTTCCCTTTTCTCCACAGCCTCACCAGCCCTTTATTTTTTGACTTTTTGATAATAGCCATCCTGACTGGTATGAGATGGTATCTAATTGTAGTTTTAATTTGCATTTATCTTATGATTAATGATGCTGAGCATTTCTTCATATGTTTGTTGGCTGCTTGTATGTTGTCCTTTGCCTACTTTTTAATGGTTTTTTTTTTTTTTTCCTGTCAATTCGTTTCAGTTCCTTAAAGATCCTGGACGCTAGGCCATTATCAGATACATAGTTTGCAAATATTTTTTCCCATTCTGTGTGTTGTCTCTTTACTTTCTTGATGGTTTTTTTTTTTTTTTCTGTGCAGAATTTTAGCTTGATAAGATCCCACTTGTTAATTTCAGTTATTTGCTGCGTTTGCTTTTGAAGACTTAGCCATGAATTCTTTGCCTAGGCCAGAGTCCAGGATGGTGTTCTCTAGGTTTTCTTCTAAGATTCTTGTCATTTGAAGTTTCATGTTGAAGTCCTTGATCCATTTTGGTTAATTTTTGTATATGGTGATAGGTAGGGTCCAGTTTCATTCTTTTCCATGTGGTTAGCCAGTTTTCCCAGAACCATTTGCCAAATAGGGTTTCCTTTCCCCAATGTTTGTTTTTGTCAGTTTTGTCAAAGATGAGTCAGTTGAAGGCCTGTGGAGTTTTTTTTTTTTTTCAGGGTTCTCTATCCTGTTCTGTTGGTCTGTGGTTTATTTTTGTGCCAGTACTATGCTGTTTTGGTTACTGTAGCCTTGTAGTAAAGTTTGAAGTCTGAGAAAATGATGCCACCACCTTTGTTCTTTTTGCTAAGGATTGCTTTAGCTGTTTGAGCTCTTTTTTGCTTCCATATGAATTTTATTATTCTTTTCTATGTCTGTGAAAAAATGTTGCTGGTAGTTTGATAGGCATTGATCTGGCTAGGACTTCTGGTACTGTGTTAAATAGGAGTAGTAATTTAATCTTAATAAGCCTTCGTTTCCAAATTTGTAAAATGAGAATGCTGTTGCCTATATCATAGGGTCATTGTAAGTAAGATTTTTTTATATAAAACTCATAATATCATGCCAGGCACACAGTAGGAGATCAGTAGGTAGCAACTGCTATTTGTCTATACATTAACTCAATTTTGGGACTTGATAGACCTTGAAACTCCCCTTTCATTGAATGCCTTATGGTATCCTGGTGCTGTGATAACATGAGATGGTTTGCTTTTACTTTAGGTTTAATTTGTAAGGCCTGCTTTTAAATAGATACCACCATTCACTTGGCATTAAGCTTCCTGAAATTCATAGGTAATGTCTAGTATGAAGCAATCAGTCTCTAGAACAATGGTACAGTGTACATTAACACCATCTGAGGTGCTTGTTAAGCCGTTTACCTCCAGACCTCGAGAGTCTGATTCTTAGATTGTGGTAGAGCCTGGAAATCTACATTTTTAGGAAGTTCCCTGTGGGTTGCTGTTCTGGTATCAGGAGAACACATTTTCAGAAGCACAGCTGGAGAAGTTAATGGCTCACAAAGCTCTTCGTTATGTGACGGCAGATGTTGTGAAGTCTGTGTCAGCTCCTTTCAGTGTTGTGAGAAGCCACTGAGTACCCATTTTCCCCAAGTGTTAGGCTTTGCTTATCCTTTGATTCAGCAGATGTTTACTAAGCAACTGATATGTGCTACACACTGATCTGATTGCCAGGAAAATAAACTTAAATAAGACTTGATCCCAATCCTTATAGAGTGGCTTGACAGCAAAGAAATCCTGCCATACATGCGATTGTTTTGGGGGAAGTGTACACAGGAGTCACCAAATTACAAATATCACCGTAAGGCTTCAGTGGTGAGGGCGTTTAAGAATTGTTCACTTGAAACAACAGTA